AATTAACGGGAATTGGATGGACGGACGTAAAACTGAACTGAAAAGGGGCGTTGCCTCAAATGGCTTAAAGCATGTCACTGTCATTGATTGTCAATGTCATTGACTGATTTGGCGCGCGTTTTAAACTAGCGTGTTTTTAAAGTTACAAATCTGTCAGTGGGCACATGCGAACCCGAGCATCATCACCGATTTGCACTTAATCAATGCCTGAAACAAAATCACTTTCCGTCTCGAAAGTCATTGCTACTAACTAATGAGCGGGGCAAAAAATGGTATTTATGCAGATGCGTGTCCGGTAATTTGAATAATTCAGTCCGCGTCCCTTTCTCAATGCCATTCAATTCGTCCTGAGACAATTTGGCGATTCTTTAGATATGCGCACGCGATACGACGATGCCTGAAGACTGAGTTAATCATAGAGGACACCGGAGGGATTTAATTAAGCGACACCGTAATGAATGCCAGAAGAAAAAGCTGCCAGAAAGGCCATGGGCGCTTCTAGTGCACAATCATCAAGCGGGCGACAATGTTGGAGTCGATTTTCCGGCCGGGCTCATCAAGTGGCTCATCTTCGATTAGTTAGCGGGTTTTTAGGTGCAAAAAGCAATAATTCCAGCCGGGAAAAATCGGCTAAAACCGGGCATAAAAGTTCGCGTTACACGCTGGCCGGCAATCATGCAAAAACAATTTCGCTTTATATCTTCAGTCGGGGGCCGCGGGCGCGACGCGCAACATGCTTATTACGTTTGCAGACGGTCCTGGCCGCGGGCCATCCCGGTCCTGCCGCGCCGGTCAGCAGAAGCAGCAGCTTTTGATCGGTATCGATCTTCTGATACGATAAAAGGCCTTTTGTTTTGGTTTATTATCCTGCTCCTACTCGTTATGGGCTGCGGTATCTATGGCGCAAATAATGGCAAACCACCACCGCCATGGTACTTAAAATGGGCACCCCAATCGACGAAACTCCGGCACTCAAATGCAAATCGATGGTTTGCGATTTGCAATTGAAATCGTCGAACTAATCGCAATTATTTTACGATCCCTTTTGACTAGCGTTGGCTTACCGACATTAGGCAACAAGTCACTCACTCAAAGGAAGTTGAGGATTGTTGAATTACACCAGGCCGCGATGCCAATTGCTCAATTTTCCCAAAGCCTAACACTTTTCGGACTTCGTTTGCTAACCTGCCAATTCTCCGTCCGTTCGGGTTAATTTAAAAAGAAAAAGTAGGAGGAGCTAACGCTATCAGCCCCAAATATTCGCAATAAAATTCAACTTACTACTGGAGTTCTTAAGAACTGTTAGAATAAGACTATAATCAAAATGCTTTTAGTATTATCAATATAAGTTCCGCGATATATATTATGGACCACAGTGTACCACAACGCCATATTGCTTAGGCAGCATAATTTTTGTTCATCGCGAGAGCAACCTTTTTAGTCAGTCGTCGTTAAATCGCTGCTGATACAGAATCGTTTTCGTGTTCGGAAATCTTCTTTATCATTTATCAATATACTTTTATTCATACAATTGTGTCCACTTTATTTCACCAACAAGAACGTTTCGGATTATAACCGTAACAACCTTCGTCCAACCTCAGCAAACTTGAAAAGAACCTCATTTGGCAACAGTTTTTAGCGAAAAGCGGGAACGATTTCTATATGAATCGACTTTTAATCCCGCCCTAATCACACAAAATGTAAAAATCACTTCCTGTTTTAAATTTCGCCACTGTTGAAAATCAATTCCTCCCCAAAAGTGCGGAAACTTCCAACAGAGCCCTTCCTTAGAGCTTTTTCGAATCAATACATCCCTAGGATGATTGCACGGCTGACACACAGATGGAGCTCGACTACTTATTTCCTAAACCCCGCAGACTCTGAGCCGAGCAGAGATTCCCGATGACTTGCCAAAGGCTTGCGACAATGTAAAATGAAAAATTCGCCTGATTCCAACAGAAAACCATCTGAAAGTCATGAGAATGAAGCAATAAACCACCAAGCTTGACAAAAACCACAAACATTCGATTCGAATTCCCTAAGTATGGTTTTATGGGACGATAAAAATGTAAATGGCACGCGTTTTTATTGATTGGCGCTCCGCATTAAATATGGATAAAGGCCAGACTCGTGTGTGTGTGTGTGTGTTTACCGGTAGTAGTCGATTTTTCGTTTTTCCGCCGCTTTGTGTCACAAGTTTTCCCAGTGCGAAGCCGTGCACAAAAGCGAACGAACGGCCCGAAAAAGCACACACATACACACGCATTTAAGGGGCGAACAATCGAGGATTCGACAGAAAATGCGATTCAGCGGTGCTCCCATTGAAAACAGACAAAATCAGTTTAGAAAGGTGTAGCATAAGCAGGGACGAGAGCGGGTTCAGATCGCCGATAAAAGGTGCATCGAGGGGTGATACACGATGCTCTTTGTATTGGGGAATTTTTTACTTGTCCTGACCCTGGGATGTACCTACGACGTAAAAACAGATAATGGACGAAATGCTGGATGAGGGTTGATGAGAGTTCTTGCAAAGTTCTGCTCTGGATTGTTTTTTTTTCTGCAAAATTAACCAAATGTTCCGAGGCCAAGTGAGAATGTTTCGGACACATCGGGACTGTTCCCCAAAGGTCGCACAACAAGAAAAAGTAGTAGTAGTTTGCAGGTTTCAAATGCATGCTTTTTGCACATGTTGATGGAACTAGGGACGAGGGTTCACAAACTCTTTTGCGCAAAATCGCCCAATTGTTGCCGAAGCATTGCGATTGTTCTCAAACAGGAACAAATTGAAACAAACACAAACGAACATTCGGAGAAAAGTGTTTAATTGGCGCCTAAGTGCGTTAATTACTGTTTGCAAGTTTCGGGAATTCAAAACGCTTCAACAGTCACTCGTCGGTAAATACACGTTTGTAATTATTGTGTTTCTCGTGTATTTCAATTGATATTCACCTCTAATTCACTTTTACATCAATCCACACTTACACAGCTGATCGCAATTAATTACACGTTGGTCAGCCACTAATTATGCTCAATTTGAAGGCGTTTATTCTAATGTATTAATTATTAGCTGCGGTTGTTGACTGGTGATTATCGGAATTTCCCAGCCAACTTTGCCCACACTTCTTCCGAGTCCCGACTGTTCTAAGGGTAGAAACCGGATGATTTTTTGGGAAAAAAACCGCCACTTTAAACTTTCCGCGCCACCTGTTGCCGCCATCCATTCTCAACAAATCATAGTTAGCTGGTGGCAAACAGGGAAATTAACATGGAATTTGCAATACAATGGGGTATCCTGCTCGTCGCCCGACTTATGCATATGGATGTGGTCGCGCCCCATTCACCAACCCCGTAAAATATTCGTTTCGCGAATGTCGACAGGGGGTTAGTCGTGCTATGGGACAGGTAGCTGCCGATGTTCGACCAACTGATATCGCTTACCAAACCGTTTCGTATTTGCTCTAATTGATTTTTAAATTTCCCAAGTGATTTCCCGTCATATCATGTTGCTTCGTCAGTAATCGGGGCGCTTCGGAAGTGAGGTTTTGTTGCCTCGGGTCGCTTCGCGACGCTTTGCCTTTTATCGGCGTGAATCGGATTGTAGTTGCGGTCCCTGCTGTCAACTATGGACGATGGAAAAAAATTTCCAATTCTAAAATTTGCAAAAAACCCAAAAGCTTTAAAATGGAAACTGCTCCGTCCAGTATTTTAAATGGAAAATGCGAGTTTTCTTATTATTTAGTATCGGGTGCTTAGTTTTCGTTGCGAATCGCGGCAAACTTTCCTGATTAGGTTCAACGTCATTAACACAAACAGACCGTTAATTCTTTAGTTGTGAGCCTCTCTAGGGAACCCACCGAAAAATAGGGTCTGAGTCTTTTTTCTTTGAGTGTTAACAAACTCTGAAACGTGAATTATTCAAAAAAATACCTACTCGACCTTTGAAAATATTTCCCAACGAAAAACCAAATGGTAATTCTGGCTTGTATCTAAACAAACATAAGTCTAGGATTCCAGTTTTCATACTAAACCGAGAGTCTGTAAGTCAACAATTTAATTTTTTTATAAAATACTGGGCTTTTTGCAGAGCAGTCGACAATGTGACCTTTAAATGATTTTGAGTGAGCTGCAATTAATGTAAACAATTAAATCGAAAAGTAAATCACTGTCTTCAATTTCGTTATTAATTTGCCGCGATTGTGCAGTTCTGGGCGCAACTGAGAGAGTTAAAAAGTGCCATTTTCGTGGTGGTAAACATGCTGTTAAATTGTGAAGAGAATAGAACAAAAAAATGAGGATGTCACATGGTGGTGAAAAAATGAGCAAAATGAACTGTTCGCCCTCACGATATTTCTTAGGGATTTGGGCACATATCGGTAAATTGACATGGGAAACTCCAGAAATCAATCAAAAAACACCAAGCATCAAGACACCAAATCAATAGTTGTAATATTCTTCCATACTTGCGCAAATTGTACGATTTGATGAAAGGCAAACGTTGAAAACATCAAATGTCCGCTAAGCATCTACATGACTTGCTACTTCTTCCATTGCGCTTTCTTTAACGGCTCAATAGCTAATTTTCTTTAAGATCGTATTTAAAATATGAATCTTCCTAACACTCCGAATGCATCCTCTAGAGCCAGTTCCTTAGCAGCTTTCATCCAAAACCCTCCCAAGTTCTGGACTATAGAGTTAATAATTTTCAACCCATAAATGTTGGTAAAAACTAGGAGAAAATCAAGCGAGAAAAAAGCCTGAGGAGTTTTCCACGTTCCCCGAAACGGTATCGCGTCATTTTCCAGGCCTGCCGTCATATGTGCGATCCGCACGCTCCGTTGCCAAGCTACCGAGTCAACTTGACTGTAAACACTTCCCCGCCAAAGTGGGGAGCGAATGGGGCGGAGCGAGCCCGCGCAAACCAATCGGCGGGCCGGGACGCGTGACGTCAGACGCCTTCAAAGGCTCGCGCACAGGAGGGGTCGCATTGGAGGGGGCAGCGGTGCGAGTCCGGCACATCGAGCCAAGAGCCTAAGCAGTAGTTTAAACAGAGTCGAGGAACGTGCACATTGAGATGCACGTAACGTATGAGCGTAGTGGCTGTAGCATATGATACTGTTTGTGGCTGTAGTGGCATTCGTGGCGTCATTGGCGCGTGTTTGTTTTGTGCAGTAAAAGGGCAATACAGTGGTCAACATTTTCGATTTTCTGAGAAACAGTGCTGCGTTCAAAGTGTACGAGCCCGAGGACAGTGTCGGCTCCCCGCGGCCCTTGCAGGGCATGGCGGCCACCACATACCTTCCGGCTAGTAGTGCGGTTTCAGATCTAGAAGGAAGTGCCTTAGGGATGAATATAGTTGGGGGATACGCCGCCTCGCCCAGGTCGGCAGCGGACGCTAGTGAAATGAAATATCTGCCGCAACATCACAACCATCACCATCACATAGCGAGTTCGCCGAGTCCCGGTGGACATGCAGCGATGTCGCTGTCGGCGGCGAATCCCTGGGTAAGTTTGCAACCGGGCGCCGATCCGTGGGCGGCCTCAATGGCAGGAATGCACCACCATCCCCATCATCAGGACGTAAAGCCGCTGTCGCAACAAGCGGAGATGATGCACCATCAGAGGCAGCAGCAACAGAGCATGGGCTCGCCTCATGGGTGGCCTGGTCCGGTCGCCTCTGCCCACTACCATCAAGGGGGCGCCGGCTCGCCATTGCACCAATACCATACGGTAATGAACGGAATGTTGGCGCACCACCAAGGCACCCCCCAATTGCACCACTCGTTGCATAGAGACATGCAAAGCCCGCACCATCCCCAACACCCTGATAGGGACGTTAGTGGTGGCGAGGACGAAACACCGACCAGTGACGACTTGGAGGCTTTCGCCAAGCAGTTCAAACAGCGTCGGATAAAGCTGGGCTTCACTCAGGCGGATGTGGGCCTTGCGCTGGGCACCTTGTACGGAAATGTGTTTTCGCAAACGACGATCTGCCGGTTTGAGGCGCTGCAGCTCAGCTTCAAAAACATGTGCAAATTGAAGCCGCTGCTCCAAAAGTGGCTGGAAGAGGCCGACTCGACGACCGGCTCGCCCACCTCCATAGATAAAATTGCCGCTCAGGGCCGCAAGCGGAAAAAGCGCACCAGCATAGAGGTGTCGGTCAAGGGCGCCCTAGAGCAACACTTCCACAAGCAGCCCAAACCCTCCGCCCAGGAGATCACCTCGCTGGCGGACAGTCTCCAGCTGGAGAAGGAGGTTGTGCGGGTTTGGTTCTGCAATCGTCGCCAGAAAGAGAAGCGAATGACGCCGCCCAATACACTGGGCGGCGAAATGATGGAAGGCATGCCGCCGGGCGGCCACATGCATCCCGGCTACCCGCACCATCCAGACATGCACGGGTCGCCCATGGGCCAGCACTCGCATAGCCACAGTCCGCCCATGCTCTCGCCCCAAGGCATGAGTCACCAGTTGGCCGCCCACTAGCACGTAGCCCACTGGGCCTCCCTTATCCACCACAACGACAACGGCTAATGACGACTGCCGCCCTGGGCGGCCTCACTACCTCAAAAGGACTGTGTTCAGCATCCCTAGGCCGTTGAGGAGGCTCAAGTGGACTCACATTGACTAGACATAGACTCAAAGACAAGCGCGAGTGAGTACTAGTACCTTTAGATTCTTTAGACCCGTGCGGTTTGTACCTACAATGTACATTGTTGTAAATAGTCAAAGTGATAGCCGTCGGTCGTCGACGGTACTGTAATATTATAGTATCTAGTAGAATTTTTTTGCAAATGGACCTTCTACAGGGCGGCGCGCTCAAGACAGCCCTAGTCCTTATCTCCACTCAATTCTATCGCGATCATTTTCCGGTGCTCAAATTGTCACTTCATTATACAGAGACTTTCCGGGTGTGGTTTTCGTAGCTTTAAAAAGTTGCCACTTCACAAGGTCCTCATATCTCAGTGCGTTTTGCCAGCTCTTGATCAATTTGCTCAATTTACGTCGACTCCGAACAGTTTTTAACGTTTCCCTACTTTACCCAGTAGTTCAACAGTATTGCTGCAGATCTGGGCCCCTACGCATTTTGCCTCCAAAGCCACTTTCGGATTGAAATTTGCCTTTTATTATTACCAGTTTTCTTCTTTAAACTCTTAGCTAATAGAGGCAGTTTGGCACATATTTTACTTTCAATAGATTCAGAAAAGTGTCTCAACATGATCCTACTCAGCCTACACCTCCGCTTTCTTCATTTACTCTCAACCCATTAATTTGGCAACATTTCGTCAAACGGTGCCGAAAATCTATTCGGCACAGACAACATACTCAACATACTTTCAATGTACAGGGTGTCCCAAGATTTTAGGGAGTGCGTAGGCAACTCTCAAATTTACTTGCATGTTATAACTTTAAATTATTTAAAAATCATCTATCGACTTAGAAGAATCACGGTACACTTGCGTATCTTCCCATGAGGTCCAAAATTAAATGGCACAAAGTGGGGCACCACGTACACGATATTTTCGCTAAAATAGTTTCATCCAGCTCTCAGTAGCACGTTTAAGGCAGGTATTTAAACGATTGCTCGACTGGCTATCAACATAGCAAAAAAATCAAGAGAACTACCAAAGCAAATGCGAACGTATCTTGGAAAAACACAGCGAAACTGAGTGGGGTCCCAGCAATGTTTCATGGTACTTAGAAGGTACTTCATTTGAAAGCACATAGCAATTAAATCGTCCCCCACTTCTGGGAGTCTGTGTACACTCAAAGGCATTTTCAGAACTTTTCTTCGTTTTTGTCCCGCTTAAAGAATTGAAGATGCCAAAACTGCGCATCATACTGCCGCAAATTATGAATCTCTAATTCAACATCTATAAAGAGGGTCTTTAGCAACATTAACCGATCTGATTTTTTAAACCAACTAAAGAGTGCATTTGATATGTGAAGAATAGACAGCCGGGCATTATTTCCACCCCAGATCTTCCGGCAACTACGTTTTCGGATTGATCTGGCCAGCACGAAATCCCGATCTAACATCACTTGACTGAATTCAATCCAAATTTTAATAGCATGTCAACACGCCACAGTTTTACTCTGAAACTTAATGAAGTGACAGTGAGAGCAATTAGAAAAAAGAGCGATTAGAACAAACAACTCTAATAGAAATTGATATCTAGGATTCTCTTGATCGAACCACCTTGTAAATATGATATAATATAATTCTTTAAACGCCTCCGCCTGGTTTAGGCGGATCGAGTGCGGCCGATGAAGGGTTCGCAATTTTAAGTGCGAACGGATCAACTCTAGTCCTTAATTTTATCATGGCGATTGGATGATGGACGTGTTCGGCCCCTGATTGGGCGAAATCCAGGCAAAATGTCACGAAACAAACAACGAACTGTCCACCAATCAATTTCGCTTCTCCAGCTCAGTCTAGATGTATAAAAACCGGTGCGGGGGAGTTTCGCTCCCCCCAAAAATACAATCAGGAACCACTCAGCGACCGTACTGTAGAGGGCGCAACGTGATTTGTATTTTTTAAAGTTACTTATTAAATGGGACGGTTCTCGAATGCAACAATTTAAGTCGTAAGTTTATATGTATAGAATGTCGTCGTACATATTTATAAAAGAAATTATAAGAGAGTTGTTTTCAGTTGTTATTCTTTCTTTTGGTTATTGTCGTGCAGTTTGTTTCTCACTAATTGTTTGAATTACAATCTTTTATAAGAGTTGTTGTCGATTAAGAGCTAAAAACGCTTATTAGATGGTACGAAACTAGTGTTGCCTCCGTTCAATTGTGCAGTGTGGTTCGAGCATGTGCGCCCATTTTTGCCTGCTCCGACCAGCTGGTAAGTTCTTATTCAATCTTTTTTGTTGTCGTAATTACCGAATAAACACAGCTATTGTGAGGGTCGAACCCTCACACCTGTTCGACGGTAATCCGCCCGTGTAAATATCCCGTCATCGACGGGGACACTGATTTTTCCACTTTTGATTGGAAAACATTCCTTTAAATGACGCGTTTTGCTGTGTTACTTCAGACATTCCAGGTTTCCGTAGTTTTGTGTGTTTGTTCATTGGCTTATTTGGTGTAAATAGATGCACGATTCTTCAGTTGGTTCAAGGTTTACTCAGTTTGACTTCTTCAGGAGTGACTAGAAAGATCATTAATTGCGTTTCTTTGAAGTCAACATTAGTGTTTTTGATGCAGCTTCAGGAAAATTGACGCGCTTCTAATTTAGTTGCTCGATATTTGCGTTTAACATCTTTTCTTCAACCAGCGACTTTTTCTGGTTGCCAATTGGTGCGTTTGAATGGAATGAAGCTATTACTATCTAGATTTCTTCTATCAGCGTCCATCAGCTACTTTTCTTCAAATCATGAAAAAGCCTTTGAAGGAATTCTATTCCCATTCCGAAAACCAATTTGCGCGACTCTTCCAGTTCATCTGCCTACTTTCGTTCCAAACTCCCTCTTTTTCAAGCTCTTTTTCCTTGGCTCTCTAGTAATCTTCAATTTTTCTCTTCCTCACTTTGAATGGAGCAACACTGTTGGCACAACCAATCGGCTCAAATCCGTAATATCAAAAGTTGCAAACTGCACGAATGCCACCGTTTGGTGGCTTAGTCTAAGTGTCAAAAAATCCCTCAATCTTAGATGTTTGTTAATTGTGCGGTGGGAGGCGGCAGACTGTCCAGTGTTCTTCAGCTCAAAGCTCAACTGTTGCCCGATGTTCGACATTTGAACAGATTCAAAGCCAAAATCGCGTTGAGCTGATCCGGTGAAGATGCCGGGCAGTTTGTCCGGTTAGAAACGTTATTGTATTGTTTTAGAAATTTTATTTTGTGCGCTGGATTATTTTAATGTTCTTTATTGCCGGTGATTTACAATAGGAGTTTTCGTTTGTTAGTATATAGGCAGGGTTTTGCGTCCAGTGCACAAGTTTGTAAGTTTCGGCAGGTTTTTTCCGTTGTCCGGGCAAAAAAACCAGTTTAGGCATGATTGCAACGACATAATGGCCAGCACCATGAATAATCGTATTCGGCTGACATTTTAATTTATACCTGGTGTTTCCGAAAATAAATTGACTGAAAAAAAGCATTAATCAATAGCGGATAAAGATCTACACATAGAAAAAGCAGAACGGCACCGAAAAACCTGTTGAAAACCACTCGTTTTACCTATGTGACTTTCGTTTAGTTAACTTATGTGCAATGATGATGATAGTTTTGTTGAATCCGAAGGCGAGCGAGGAAGACAGCGAGACGCAGCAGAAGAAGAAACCTGTATACCGGATACTTTTAAGTACAAGTTGTTTTAATCTTAGATTGGTCTATAAATTTTAAGGGATTTTGTTAAAAAGGAATTCTGTTCAAAGCTGTACACCGAAAGCGGGTCCACCGAATAAAACCTGTTTGCCAACAGGTGTGTGTGTGTGTGTATAGTCATGATCGAGTATCGATATCTTCTCTCGAGGATTTCTTTCTGTTAGTCCTCGGCAGGTTCTCTTTGCATTTCACCATCTAACAAACAAACTATCGATGCTCGAGCCTTTAACAAACAATTCGCAAACGCTAGAAGAAAATTTATAATTTATTTTTCTGTTTTCCCCTTTGTGAAAATGTATAAAATATTGTTACATATTATTATATAGAAAAGATAATATCTTTGTGTATATTGTATTTTTATGAATGTCCAAAAATAAAAAATAAAGTAAGACTGTTTATAAATTAGCACTCGCCTTTTATTTGTTCGACTGTTTAGGCGCTTTCGGTGCTAAACTACATCTAAAACAACCGGCTGAAGAGATGCTAATTGAGATTGGCAGCTAGGAGTGGTAGCAGACACTGCTGAAAACTTATAGGCAAGTTTTCTTATCTCTTGATGCTTTTTCCAGTTGCTTAATCAACTGTATGCTCTACAAGGTTGTTAAATTTATGTCCAATAAAATTTTATGAGAGGAACAAGGCGCAGGGTAGACCACTCGTGTTAATAAGAGAGAGGCATTGTTTCGCTCATTAATGTTCAAAATGTGGGATATTTGAAATGTAGGTACTTATTTAAACCTTGAAGGTTTCAAGTCAAATGAAAAAACTTTGCAAAGTTTCAATCGGAAATTTTAATTTAAAAAGTCGTCAAGTCATTTTTAAAGCCTCTTTGAACCTAAATCGCATGGAGTTGTCCATGTGAAAATAGCAAAATAAATTCAACTGAACTATTTTACAAGCTTTGCTTTTCAATCAATCGAACATTCTCCTATCAGCTCGCAAACTTTAATTGTTTTAGCAGAATCTTTAATTAGTTGAGTCAAATTGCTTAATCAACTAGGTATCTTCTCTCTAAGGTTGTTAAATTTATGTCCAATAAAATTTAAATTTAATACAGGAAAGACTATTTAGTAAGAGAAAGGCATTGTTTCTCAATTCAATTGATTTCGTTTCTTCGTTTCTCCAATTTTTAAATTCACTAGTAAATATCTTTGAGCCAAAATCCCAAAAGTTCTCGATTTGAAAATTGCAAAAAAAAATTGCTTTGAAGTTTAAAAGTAGAAAGTTTCAATAAAAAATCTTCTTGAAACAAACTTTTTTGAAATCTGTCGAACTTTTTTGCATCAGCACGAAAAATAAAAACGCAAATTTGACTAGTTTTAGACAGTCGACACTCTTTTAAGCTAATTAATCAAGCAACGATAGGCATGGTTGTTAAATTTAAATTAGTCTCCAAGTCAGTTTCATGAGAGAAACAAGGCACAAGTATTCTGGTCAAAACATACTTTTGCAAAAAAAATTAAGAAGAAATTTGAACTTTTGGTTATTGGCTTTGGTGGTTTTAAGTCATCACATCAAGATCAATAATAAACAGCTTTGCATTTTTGAAAGCTTCTGAAGTTTTCAGTCGAAAACAACCATAAAAGTGGAAATGTACCACTTAGAAGATCAAAACCTCGCATAATTTAGAGTCTGATTTTTTTGCAAACATTTCAGGTAGTTGAAACATCATAATGTTTCAACTTTTTATTGGGGAATTTAGAAATTCGGTGATTTCTGAATGCAATCCAGAAGGTGCAAGTTCAGGAAATTGTTTTGTGAAAAATCCATCTGGAAGTTCACACTTTTAAAGTACACACACACAATAACCAAAGAATTATACGGAAAATAAAGCAAACCCATATTAATTGTAAGAATTAGATTTTTTTGGAGTTCGTGCAGTTTTGAGAACTTTCATCGAGTATAATTTTCAATGTCCATTTTCATGGCGCAAGCTTTTGGTTGGCGAATCTGGAAAACTTGATATTTGAATTATTTTCCGAACTTTCCTACGTTTTCCAAACATGGAAAATATACTTCATTCCAAGAACTTTGAACTTAACACCAAAAACTTTAAATATTTTCTGATATCCACACGAACGCCTGCAAGTAAAGTCTAGAAAACAAATAAGCAACAGACAACTAAGGTTTACATTTTGTCCTATAACTGCAGAGTTTTATGAAATCCTATATGAATTGAAAACATGATTTTAGAAACTCAAAATATGACACTTTCCTTGGTTTGAGTGCTTAGAACATCGTCTTATTAGAACTTCACCGGAATGTCTCGATGTCTTCCAATTGTCGCCATTAGTAGACTATTTTGTGTCTTAAAAAAGCTAAACCAATCCAAATGAAATAACAGAAAATTATAAGCAAGAAAGAATATTTGAAACCTGGAAAACTTTACGCATAAATCCCTGAGCGCATTTACTAAATATTCCATCTAGAACTGAAGAAACTCAAGAATGAGCCCATTACAAGTAGACCAGTAGGTACAGATCTCGAAATGTGCGAATCTCAGGCACCCCCGGACCGGTTTTGAGCCTATCGGCTCTAATCAGTTGTTCGAGGTGTTTTGTGCCGACGTAAATACATGGGCGAAATAAAGTGGCAGGTTTCGGGAGTGTTATTTTCTATGGTAAAGCCAGCTGATGAGAGCCAATAGGTTCGAAACCGGCCCTCCGGGGTGTCTGAACAGCACATTTCGACATCGGCACATAAAAAATCCTTGCCGGTTCTGTTGAATAAACAGACAGACAGTCAGACATTAAAAGGTTGAACTGAAAATGCAAGTGTTTCCACCTGAAGAGCCCATTCAACTGAATGAAATCCGACCGCTAGGTACCAAAAAGTCAAGCCATTTGACGGAACCCCTTTTGTTCGTTCTCGTGTTTGAAGTGGAACCTTGAGAGACTGAATCGGGTACGGTACCGAAATTTATAGACGCGGTCGTGTTGTTAGCCCCAGGTGAAAATCGTATAACTCAAGTGTAGGATCCGCTTAAACACACCTAAACGAAAAAACGACGACATAGCCAAAAAGATTCTCGGAACCGAGGTTAAATATATGAGATGGGTCTAATGTTTGTTTCGTTTTCTTTCGGTTCGTATGCGGAATGTCTTGCGAGGGCGCCTAAAAAAACAACGGGGAAGGAAAATTAATAAATTCCTGTTTCAGATTAGGTAAGAGCCCGATTTCGACCACTTCGATACTCTAGTTCTTCAGCCCGAATCGTTGTGGCCGCCTTGAACAGGCGCGCACGTCACATTCCATTACCAGAAAAAAACTTATTTACCTTATTATTATAATTAGCTTTATAATGGGCAGTCAGCAGGTTTTGTGATCGATTACCGGCCTGCATTATAATTAAAAGATATGTCAAAATATGTAACACCTCGTTACGTTCCGAACCGGTAATCGGCTAATTAAATTTCAAATTTAACCGAAGGAGTGCGGACTTTTTTTGCCCCGATATTCAGTAAGTAAAAACGACAAAATTTGGTCCACAGCAGCGGAACACTAGGCTCAAAAGAATCTAGTCAACTAGCTATTAAGTCATATTGGGATTAATTAAGCGACCATTAGACGACTGGTGAACTGTGAAAAATCAAAACATTCGCCGCTTGATTAATTACGCCTAATAATGGGACTTAAATCAGATAAAGTGCTTTCAATGGTAAAAAATGCCGCCTTCAATCTGGATGCCCTTATTGTGAACTGTTGAGCCCATATTATCCTGGGCCCGCACCACTAATCAATGATCACCGTTATGGGAATGGAAAAAAATCGTTTCTCGGACTGCTATAATTGACCGGACAAGACACAAAAACTACTTATTATTAAACCACTGATTTTTTGTGCTTTCACGCGTGCTTGCAACACCAAACAAATTTTTCCCGTGGGCCTAAAAACAGTGAAAACTCACCAAATTCAAAAACCATTTATTTGCAACTTGATAAGATTGCTATCGATTGGATCGAGGGTGACGCTGATTGAAATCGAAACCAAAATCGGCTTATTTGTGCTTTTTTTCGCCTACAACAACATTTGAATAGACATTTGGAAAATAATGGACAATGGGAATATTCAAATTGGGCCGACGAATAAATAGGGGGACCTTTATTGACATTAATGAAATGTTTTGCATATACCAATATCCGTCACATGTACAATGCGTTACTGTGCGTTTTTTTCTGCATAAACAAACAAGGCGCCTCTAGTTTGGATTATTGTTTTCCCGTGTACCAAACAGGGATATCAGGGAGCAGGGCAACCATAAACATCAGTAAACTGTGAGAAAAATTACAATTGCCGATCAGGAAATTTGAAATATCAGGCAACGTAGGTAAAGCTTAAGCCCTCTGGATTGAGCCCTCAAAAGTGAACAACCCGACCTGGCCATATAAAGACGAGTTTTCAGGTCCGATCCGAGAGATTAGGGAACAAAGCAGCTTCCTCGGTGTCATTTGATCGAAAAATCAATTGGAATAAAGACGCAAAAATGCCGCTGGAAAACCCCCCAACAATTGAAACCGTCCGGTTAGTAACGGTAATCGTATGCAGGGCAATGATGTGACATGTTTGATATGCAAATTCGGAAACAATACAGTGGAAAAATGTCGGTCGCATTAATTACACAAAGGCCCCGACCCGTCGCCCCCCAGAGTTTAATGAAATACAACCCCGCAATACAAGGTCCGATCTATCGGCTCAACCAAACCATCATCCATTCAGCGATTTGACTGGAATTATTGCAATTAATCGCACTCTTAAGCTAACAAGCCCATAATAGTTACACGGTTGACGGACACCACAAACCACACAAAAGTACCAATCGAACCCTATTGCGCGTATCGGGTTGCATGTCGTCGCTGATTTCGGAACCACTCGACCGTTTTATATTTCATTAATAACGATAACAGCTCGTAAATGGGCTTTAGCAGAACACTAATGACATACTAATTGTATTTATTGACTGTCAGGTGGCTTAGAAATGGGTTGTATTGACACGCCACATTCACGCTAGACTTAGCCCTAGACGCACAGGTATGGCTAGTGGTTCCAAAAGATGGCCAGGTGTAAAATGTATCAGAAGTGAGCCGAGCACAGCCTCATTTAGCATTAATGGAACCCATCAGAAACCCCAAATTCGTTCAAATATATCCAAAACATCCAAGTGTTCGGTTCTCAGTCTGCTTATTTATTGGATGGTTTCAATTGTTCTTCCTTTTGATGCTCAACTTCTTCGCTTCAGCCAGCGAATTTCCATTTCAACCAATTGACGCCTAATTGAATTTGAATTGATTGCCATTTACTTAATTATATTTTTTATGGGTATCAATATCACTGCGCGCAATTATCCCCAATTAGGTCAGCAATTTGCCTCCATAGGTGCCAATCATGTGCAAT